CTAATGTTGATTGCAGCCCTGTCGCGCTTTCTAATTGAAGTTGAGTGACGTGTTAACCTTGCGCAAGGCAGCGTCCTTAAGTGAATGAATCTGGACCGGATAATCCAGTGATTGATATCATTAACGACAAACATGGGTTGCTAAAGATCAGGGTGCCGTTGTACAAAGCGATCTTTGCTCTAAGGTGATCGTAACTCCCATACCTTAACACTGACTTACGACTGGCGAAGCGCTAAGGTTGCTTTGTACAACGGCCCCCAATTCTAACCCGGATAGGATTTTTACCATGCTGTTTTAATTTGTCGAGTCTGGAATAGGCAATGTAGTGATTGATATAATGATCATCGATCTACGTAATTGGAATAAAATAACCTGCATCAACCAAGTCAGCGAGTCTGACTACCCGATCCCAATGTAACCTGACAGCATGAAGGATGCCCCCTATAGGCTGTGTTGATTTGTTCATTGAGTGAGTGAATGAGTTGGGTTTTATGCGACCACGACGAATATGCTACAAACATTGGGGAATAGAATATTGAAACAATTCCAAAATTACGACGTTCTAAGGATAACTCAGGGATGTCGTAGTTGACATATTGAATATTACCTACTCAAGTTGATACTCAACAACACCTACCCATACTGAGTTGAGTTGAGTGTGACGTCACATCGGCATTACTTCAGCCATATAGCGACCAGACCAAGTCTGTACACATTTTAAGTACAAAGCTTAAATGAGTTGGGTTTTAAACATAACATATTTATTCATGGCATTATTATTGGCCAACAGACAACGTCATAGCACAAAATGTTTAAAAAACATGCAATCCGTCATTCACATTACATAGTTACAATTTTATGATACAGGTCAACTTCCCTTGGGTAGTTCATTAATGAGATGCCCGCTCAAGGGGAAAACAGATCTTTCAGATTTATCGCTTGGTAATGTGAATCACTTGCATTTGAAACGTCCACACAGTCAAGCAGTATATGCTTGATGGTATGGTGGCTGATTAGGGCTATCGCTTTTCTCGTGCTATCGCTTTCTCGTCTCGTGTTATCCCTTTCTCGTCTCATGTTATCGCTTTCTCGTCTCGTGATATCGCTTTCTCGCTTTCTCGCCTCCGCATTTGAAGGCGAGAAAGCGATGGCTCTAATCAGCCACCATATGATGGTGAACGCTTCATCGCAAGTGACACACATAGGAGGTCCATCTCCATCAATAGTCATGAGTAAACTGACTATGGCCAATACAACATCGTCGTAGAATTACCTTATCACGTCTTGACCCATGTTGAGCAACATAACTAAGGTACTGGATATCACAGCCTAAGTTAAGGTACAGTGTAACGATAGTTGAGTTCTCCTATGTTGAGCTTAAGAGTTGAGATAATTGATATCACCTACCCATGTTGAGGTACAGTGTTCTTTGTGTACTTTGATATGCAATTTTGAGATACTTCATATCACCTACCCCATTCTCTTCCCACAGAGGTTACTCCTGTCATATCTTCCTACGTAACCTGTTCTAATACGGCCATATTTCCCGGTTCTCGTAAAATCCCCTAGTGGCAAAAGATCGCAACACGAATTATCTCCCTTCTTTCTATCCAATCAGAACACGTGTTACATCGACTTAGATTCAACTTGACTAACACAAGCAAATGTGAGGCCACAAATATCCCCCCATCTGCCGGGAACTTGTGTTGATGTTACATACAAGACGTTTAATGGCTAGCTTGTCCGTTGTCAACGAGGGCGATGGAGACGCCACTGATCCGCCATAACATGACTGTGTTCTGTCTAGAAGAAACGTTTGCGCATCGCGCAGGGGAAGAGGTTTAGTTTTCTCGAAGTATACGGAAATTACCGAGGCCTTGCGAATGATCACTTTTGAAACAACGTCGCTGATTGCACAACTAAATCTGATTACCTCCAATCACGAGTCTTGAACGCTCACACCATGAAAGGCCCGTATTAGAACAGAGGTTACGTAGGAAGATATGACAGGAGTAACCTCTGTGGGAAGAGAATGCACCTACCCATGCTCAGTTAGAGAGTTTAGGCGTTGGACTTCACCAACCCATGCTGAGCAATGATGTTGACGTACGTGGTATCACCAACCCTTGCTGAGCTACAGAGTTTCGAGGTGGACTTGACCTACCCATGTTGAACAATGGTGTTCACGTACGTGGTATCACCAGCCATGCTGAGCTACAGAGTTTCGAGGTGGACTTGACCTGACCCATGCTGAGCTATGGTGTTCACCTGCCGTCGCTGAGCTACGTGGTATCACCAACCCATGCTGAGCTACAGAGTTTTGAGGTGGACTTGACCTACCCATGCTGAACAATGGTGTTCACGTATGTGGTATCACCTGCCCATGCTGAGTTTAATACAGAGTTTCGAGACTGACTTGACCTACCCATGCTGAGCTATTGCAGTGAGACACTCGGAGTGGAACGCGCTGAGAATGACACCGTCCAGTCCCGGGATAAAGAAGACAACGCCGTAGTCCCCGGTGACGTTAGGGTAGTAGGCGACGGCATGCAGGGGGCTCTTGTCTTCGAGGACGATGACGACGACTTTCCCCGTGGTCAACGTGCCGGATTTTTATGGATCACCGTGGTCGACATACAGGCCTGCAGTGCATACAGTAATATACTCGTGACCAGACTTAATAATGGTCGTTTGTTGATGAGTGAATTGTGCTTTACGCCGTATTTCAGCCATATTATGAAGATTTAGTTCAGTGTGAAATGAAACAGCTGATGATTTTATAAAAAAAAACATGTTTACAGTTTGGTTCATAATCTGGCGAAAACACATAATACGGCATATAACTCCATCTGGGTAACCCTTTTCATATCATTAGGGGCGGTGGGGTAGCCTAGTGGTTAAAGCGTTCGCTCGTCACGCCGAAGACTCGGGTTCGATTTCACACATGTGTACAATGTGTGAAGCCCATTTCTGGTGTCCCCCGCCATGATATTGCTGGAATATTGCTAAAAGCGGCGTAAAACTAAACTCACTCACTCATGTCATCGAGTCCGCATGTTGACCAATATCAATAAATAAAGAATGTCACGTTCAGGTGTGTTAAATATTCCGTAAAAACGACACGTATCACTACACAATGAAACGAAGGAATCCGTCAACCAAAAAGTTACTTACATTGAAAATCTTAAGACCATCTTAATTAACTTCAATTTTTAAATATGAAAAATGTAAAAAGTATCTGGTCAATTTCGAAAGAAAAGCGTCTTTGACGTTTTCATCTCCTTGTTTATTAATTTCACCCAATCCAATGCTTCGTAAATGTTTTTAAATCAAACATTATAATTTTTACTTCGACCACTGACCTTACTGAGTAATCGGATTAATAGCACAGTTTGAATATCTCACCTGTAGCGATGGTGACGCACACGGGGATCAGTTGACTTCATGTTTACTATCGAGAGCAAAGACTGTTTATCGGTTTATCGACACGATGCATTGTATCACACAGATAACGCATTGCACGTTGCACAACATTGGTCAGGTGACTCAGGCAAGTGTCATGTGATCTCTACTCTGGTCTTATGGGCTCAAGAATTAATTAATGTCCATATTGATTACTATCCACGACTATTCACTACATTATGTTTCCAGTTTGTTTTGATAAATAAGCTGAAATGCCAGACGGACAGGCGGACAGCACAATGATGAAAATAGCTATCCAATCAAAAAGCTTTAGTGAGCGAGAGACATTCTGTGCTTTGTTAGCTATAGGAGGGATGAGAGTGGTGACGTAACTTCCGAACTTCCTGCATTTTCGAATAGATCCGGGATATTTATGAAAATTGTTCCATTTAAGTTTGACACACTAATGTTACCTGTTAGTGAGTTAGTGGGAGTGTGAAAAGAGGTTCAAAACACTTGAAAATTCTTTTGTTTGAACTGTAGAGCAATAACGGTTTTAGAAATTTTCAAGAACTAGGGGACACCAAGAATAGTCTTCGTATGATTTACCTATGTGAGGAGTGAACCCAGATCTTAAGTCGAATGAAAGAACCCTTTAAACAGGTGCTTATATTTTCAGGATAAACTGTTGTGCTTGCCTCATAGGACCTACATGCAGAAAGTAATAATAGTGCTATCACTCCTATGCTGTAAGACTACTTTGCGATAGCTGCAGTGCTATTCTGCACCCAGACGACATATGCAGTGCATGATAAATTTTAGAAAATGTATATTAAAGCATCTGGGTAGTTGTATTTTGGATTTGCAATGGCAATGTGTTGATTTATTAGTCTGTCATGTCAGAAAGAATACAATCCATGTTCAGTCTCAGCATACATGGTTCAAGTGACCATATGCCTGGCCATGTTGCTGTGATGCTGAAGTGATCACTCTGTAATTGTCTGCATAATTGTAATGATGCTTACTCTGATAGTAAGGAAAGGTAGTCAATAAAACAACTACACCATCACTCTGCTTCTTGTTTTCAGTGAGAGCGGCGGTGGGGTAGCCCAGTGGTTAAAGAGTTCGCTCTTCACGCCAAAGACCCAGGTTTGATTCCCCACATGGGTACAATGTGTGAAGCCCATTTCTGGTGTCCTCCACTATGATATTGTAGGAATATTACTAAAACCGCATAAAACTAAATACTCATTCACTCTCACTCCACACACTCACTCACTCCCACACACACTCTTTCAGTTAGTCAAGTCAAGTATTTTATTCCGTATGTAGGCCACAGGCCCATATACATCATACATACATTTGTTTACAAATATAGATACACTTTAAAGGGCATACTTATCATTAATACACGTGTTATTTGTTCAAATAGATTTCTTGTCAGTATAAATATAATATTTAATATAAACATATATACACACCTTTATAAACATTTAAAATGGACAAATCTGTGGTTTAAAGAACATTTATTGAGTTTGATTGCTCTGATTTTATAAGCATGAAAGATATATTTACATAAATTTCTTAAAAGTGTTTGATTTTTGGTTGATAACAGGGACTAAAATTTATAGTAGTTTGGTTGTTTCTGATATACATATGGCAAGTATTTTAATCTAAGGGAGTTATATTCAGTACATATAAAAATAAAATGATACTCATCTTCTACACCCAGCTTACACAATGGACAATTACGAGTTGCAAACTCAACATTATTTAAACTCTCGGTAAATACGGTATCTTGAACTTTTATTCAATGTACAATTCCATGATTGAAAAAACATATTGATTGCAACAGTCTTGAATGAAGCTGCATCACCAACTGTCTGAGACATCCAGACGTAACCAAATCCATGTGAGAAAAGTATTTCTCGCATATGTCTTATATCCACAATTATCGTAATACATTTGCATTTTGTACACTTTCAAAGGAGTTCTATTTTGATGCATATGAATAACCTTTAACCAATATTTTAAAGTTTTACACAATGCGTTTATAAAGAGAGGATATCTTCCACACTCGCCATATACAATAGCAGTAGGTGTTTGAGTGCTTTCACAATTATTCCAACTGTATCAGTAACATATTCATGAACCATTTTTAATAAATGTTACCCTTTGTCAGGATACAATAATTGACCCCAAGTGGAAAATATACGCTAAAACACTTATACATATCAATAGTGTATTTATATATTTACAAAAAGACTTTCTTAATGAACACAGTATACACATTCATACATACATCAATAGACAATGTCTTATTTTTGTATCTCGTCGTTTTTTTTCACTTGAAATGCATGTTATGGAAAGACAAATGGGATAAAGAGCAGTCTGTCCTATGGTAGATGCCAGTGTTGATAGGATGGCGCTGACATGTTATATTTAAACTCATCAAGAGGTAGTGGTATCTTTGTCTGGTCGATGACGTAGTTGATGGTTTGGGAGAAGCCCTGGAGATAAACGATGAGGAAGGCAGATGTTATTCCCTGGGTGTACTGGTGGTAAGCTGGGATCATGGAGGCGTTACCTCCCAGACACGTCTTGGTATCGATACAGACTGTGGAGAAATACCAACATTATAGGATAGGTTGTTTGTCTCAAATTGTTGTTTAACATTTCCTTCCAGTTATACAGTATCAAATTATACATCAATGACAAGTGAGAGAGTTTAGCATGTTTACACCAACTCAGTCAATATTCCAGCTGATATGGCGGTTATGTAAACTGTAAATAATCGTCTGGTCTGCGCTGGAAGCCCTGGAATAAGCGACGAGGAAGGCAGTGATCAACAGCATGGAGGCATCAATATACGAACTGTGGGATATGATGATATATGTCACATTTCCTTCAAGTACTCAAATTATAGTGAGTGAGAGAGTTTAGTTTACACCGACTCAGCAATATTCCAGCCCCATCCTGTTAGTCTGCGCTGGACAATCCAGTGATCAACAGCGACAAGAAATTGGGGGTTCACAAGAAGACCAATTCTTCAAGCATGGGTTACAGGTTTATTCAAATTATATGACGGCGATGATTGACATTGATTGGACCTGGTGGTTGATACTATGAACAACTATCAGCGTGGTCAGGTTGCCATGCTATTCAATAAACCAAGTTACCCCTGTATATCAGGTGGCATGTTTTGGTGGACCAGTACAGGTTTTGGGAGATTGGTCTAACACAGAATTCCCATGACACTGTTCCAGAGGAGGCACCCAAACTCATAAACAATGAAACCTGGTTAATCCAGACGTTGTTCCAAACGAAACAGTTTACATTGATGGGGTTCATGTTAAACTGCGGCATTATATCTCGGTGGGCTAAACCAATGTAAGTCGGTACTGGTGGGCAACTACGGTAATCTCCTGTTTCACCTTATCATGTTATTATCTCACTGTCGATAGCAACCGTATGTTGTATATGTCAGTTTATACACTCTTCAGCATCGTTCATACATGACATACATGATAACCATATCTATAGTATCTACATAGGTACTATCTATATGTTTAGGTCGCGTTATCACACTTACAATCACGAAAGGCATAATCCATGAGGTCGCAGTGACCAAAGTTCTGTAAAAGAAGAAATTATAAAATATAGAACAAACAATCTAAGTTTGCCTGTCTTTTATTATTGGGGTCCTGTCCCACAAAATGATCGGAAAGCAAAGGTCTGGAATATGTGACAAGTCTGGATTACTACAGATTCAGTTTCTGAAAATCATCCATAGGCCCCCTTTTTATTATATTCTATTAGCATAATATAGAAAAACATTTTCTTCTGTAAAATATACTCTCCCAAAAAAGAAACGCATCATGAAAATAGCAATTTCATGTAGCAATGAATTAAAACGTGATTCATTTTACAAAAGGTTTTGCTCTGTTTATGAGTCCTATGGTGTTTATGTTTTGAAACATCACAACAAAACGCACCATCCGTAAAATACCCGTATTTAACAGCATGATTGTCAATTTCGGCGTGTAGCGCCAAAGAATACACAATTCACATGCAATGCACGTGAAAGTTGGGGATCAGATAGTCTCAATGATGGGTATAAAAGGTTGATCGCTGTCTGTCGATTATTCACTGTATTTGGAATATTGTTGACGAACGCAAAATGCCATGTCTAAGTGAAGCCAACCGTCATATCGCCATTGGTTTGCTAGAAGCTGGCCAGTCTCAATGTGCAGTTACCCGACGCATCAATGTTCACCAAAGCACCATTTCTCGGCTCTGATAGAGATATCGCCGGCAGAATGCGGTAGCAGATGCCCCTCGTAGTGGGCGACCTCGAGCGACCACTGCGGCAAAGGATCGCTACATCCGGGTACATCACCTGCGTCATCGAACAGCTACGGCGACCAGTACCGCTCGAGAAATACCCGGATTGAGGAGGCTTTCTGCACAGACCGTCAGGAACAGGTTGACAGAGGCTGGTTTACATGCCAGAAGACCTTATTTTGGCCCTGTGCTTCGACAACAACATCGTCGACATCGAGTTTAATGGTGCACCAACGTTCAGGCCTGGAACCTACCGAATTGGCGTAGAATCTGGTTCAGTGATGAATCACGATTTTTTGTTGGAACGACGCGATGGAAGAATGCCGGTGTACAGACGTCGACGTGAACGTTTCGCCGACGCTTGCGTTCCCCAAGTTGACAGATTCGGCCGGGGAAGTGTTATGATGTGGGGAGCGATCACCTGTCGTAGGAGAAGTGATTTGGTGATTTGGTGACGAAATCCTACGCCCACACCTCCTTCCAATCATTGATCGCTGCAGAGGGAGTTGTTTCAACAGGACAATGCCAGGCCCCACACAGCACCCACACTAGAGACTTCCTCCAGACCCACAACATCAATGTGCTCCCCTGGCCCTCAAGATCACCGGACTTAAACCCGATCGAACATGTGTGGGATGCCCTGGACAGACGGTGCGACGCCGTAACCCTCAGCCCCAGACACTTCAGCAACTCGCACAGGCACTACAGGCAGAGTGGGCTGCGATTGGGCAACACGAGATTCTGAGACTTATTCGTTCGATGCCGAGGCGATGCCGTGCAGTTCTTGATGCCCACGGTGGTCACACGAGGTATTGACTTCAGCGCCACCACACGTCTCCATGTGACACTCAAACTGACTTTCCTCGAGTTGGTGCCAAAGACGGATAAGTCTGCATTCCCAGTGTGCAATTTCGCTATATTTCATTAACTCATAAAGCCTACAAGATGTTTCAAAATAAACATAAAAATACAGTTGAAATTCCTATATGCGTTTCTATTTTTGGGAGAGTATATGTTCATTTCAGTGACTAAATGTTGGTCTATGCGAAGGTGATCTCACTCCCATACTTTAGCATACACTTACAAGGTCGTAGGGCTTGGACCGCTTTGTAGAACAGATACCTGTGTAGTAGTAGGGGGTGTGGTAGTAGTGAGTGAGTTTAGTTTTACGCCGCACTCAGCAATATCCCAGCTATATTGCGGTGGTCTGTAAATAATCGAGTCTGGACACGACAATCCAGTCATCAACATCATGAGTATCGTTATACTACGCAATTTGGGGTGTGTGGTAGTAGCAGCATTAGGAGGTACGGTAGTAGGAGCAACAGTAGATGGAGATGTGGCGTTAGTGGCAGCATCTATTAAAGTGAAGGTAAGTTGAGCTTATTCACCTTGGCGTCCACGAGCACTTTAGGAGGTTCCCCCCACATGTCGTAGAAGTGGTTGTAGCCGAAACCAGGGATGATGCATGGGACGATGATCGCTTTCTTCGTGGACAGCTGCGTCCCCGTGATGAGAGCTGGGAGGGAATAGTTGGTCTTTGTCGTGAACTGATAACTGAAGGGTTCCCAAAACACGACAGCCTGAAACAATGGTTCACACCGAACAATTACAACCAAACAAGCAACACTAGAACATATTTCAGTTATATTTGTTGTTTCACGCTGCACCCTGCAGTATTCTATCTATATGAGGTCGGTTTGTTAATAATCGAGTTTGGACCAGACAATCCCGTGATTGATATCACTAACATCTATCTACCGAATTGAAATACGAGGATATGCATTAGTTAAGTCAGTCATGGTGTTTTATATGTAGTACGACTTTGTATTGGAATCCTAAAAGGGGCATTGATGCGTTGCCATACCGTCGTCCTCACAATAACTAGCAAAAAGTGTCAAAACTAGGTTTTGTCAGTTCAGTTTCGCAAGATCTTCACGGGTCCATTAGGGCTTTTACCTCGGTGTTTTCATTTGTCGAGTCTGGAAAAGGCAATCTAGTGATTGACATCATGCACATCGATCTATACGCAACTGGAATAAAATAACATGCATCAACCAAATCAGCGAGCCTGACCACCCGATCCCGATGTAACCTGATGTCATTGTTCCACGAAGGGAAGAAACTCAGCCACAAACGTCAACAGCCGTTTGGTACATGAAGTTCTAAAAGGGACATTATCGCGCTGTCGCCTAGTCGCAAAAACAAGCAAACAGTGTCAAAACTAAGCAAAGTGCGACAATGGCCCTTCTAGGATACCATAGTTTAGACATAAATGCCGTACCTGGAACAAGGTATGGTTTCTCTCCGTCATCTTCAACAAAGCGTCGGCCCCGGCAGAGTGACTGAGAAGCGCGACGTGGTCCCAACTGCTAATCACGCCCGGTGTTACGGCTTGGATTAACCTCTGCAGGTTGGACTTCAGCTGAAAGTATATGCGCAGTATTGCTGACGCGCCTTTAATTTAGCATTACTGCATCGTTCACACTCTCACCGTGGCCTGTAATCAATCGAACGACTTACAATAAGAGTGGGTGAGTATGGTTTTATGCCGCCTTTAGCAATATTTCAGCAATATCACGTCGAGGGACACCAGAAATGAGCTTCACACATTATACCCATGGGGGGATTCGAACCCGGGTCTTCGGCGTGACGAGCGAATGCTTTAACCACTAGGCTACCCCACCTCCCCATCGATAAGAAATGCGGAGTTAACCAAGTCACCAGCCACACATCCACAGGAACCCGTTATCGGCATGTAGGTTAAACATAGACCATAGATCTACACGCACGTCACATATATAAATAGAGTAAAGGAGCAGCAGCTGCCATCTTGGATTGCCGGGCCGAGATGGACTCGTTCCGATTTCAGGCCGAAATGTACGCTAAGGATTCGGTGACATTCCAAACCATACACACGTACCTCTCAATTATACATTTCCCCACACATCCTGTCTGGTTTCCACGACATGTCACCCGTTTTATTAACTGTAATACGTCCTCAAACTCGCAAATCGAAGCAAACTACGTCCGGGGTGAACGTTACCCCGCACTCGCTGCCTCTCGAGCGATCTGATTGGTCATAGCTAATCCGCTCAACAACAACTTTCGCCCTCAAACCATGCCGTCTTGTTTGTGTACCGATACTAAAAATACTTCCGCTCAGCGGACCAATCAGATCGCTCGAGAGGCAGCGAGTGCGGGGTAACGTTCACCCCAGAGGTAGTTTGGTTCGATTTGCGAGTTTGAGGACGTATTACAGTTAATAAAACGGGTGACATGTCGTGGAAACCAGACAGGTTGTGTGGGGAAATGTATAATTGAGAGGTACGTGTGTATGGTTTGGAATGTCACCGAATTCTTAGAGTACATTTCGGCCTGAAATCGGAACGAGTCGATCTCGGCCCGGCAATCCAAGATGGCAGCTGCTGCTCCTTTACTCTATTTATATATGTGACGTGCGTGTAGATCTATGGTCTATGTTTAACCTACATGCCGATAACGGGTTCCTATGCACACAACAGATCCATTTTGGTTGCTTTTTACGACAATTTAATGTTGAAGCCCTGCCGCGCTTTCAAATTGAAGTTGAGAGACGTGTTAACCTTGCGCATGGCAGCGTCCTTAAGTGAATGAATCTGGACCGGATAATCCAGTGATTGATATCATTAACGACAAACATGGGTTGCTAAAGATCAGGGTGCCATTGTACAAAGCGATCTTTGCTCTAAGGTGATCGTAACTCCCATACCTTAACATAGACTTACGACTGGCGAAGCGCTAAGGTTGCTTTGTACAACGGCCCCCAATTCTAACCCGGATAGGATTTTACCATGGTGTTTTAATCTGTCGAGTCTGGAATAGGCAATGTAGCGATTGATATAATGATCTTCGATCTACGTAATTGGAATATAATAAACTGCATCAACCAAGTCAGCGAGTCTGACAACCCGATCCCAATGTAACCTGACAGCATGAAGGATGCCCCTAAAGGCTGTGTTGATTTGTTCACTGAGTGAGTGAATGAGTTGGGTTTTATGCCGCTTTTAGCAATATCACGGCGGGGGACATCAGGAATGGGCTTCACACAATGTACCCATGTGGGGAATCGAACTCGGTTGTCGGAGTGAGGAGCGAACCCTTCAACCACTGAACTACCCCACCGCCCCATTTGTTAACTGTGGTGTTCCCGCTAGAATGCCATGTCTAGCAGACAGTGGGTTCGCCGAAGACACGGGTTCGATTCAATCTGTGAAACCAATCCTTGTTGCAATGGATACAATATGGAGCCACTTTCACCTGGCACGAGCAAACGACGACCAGACTGATACTTACCCAGTAAAACTGCTCCATGTACTTGTCAGCGATGAAGCCAAGTTTCTCTTTGTTCATGTGGTAACCGGTCGGGTTATCAAGCGCAGGAAAAATGTAGTCACTAGCGACCACGACGAATCTACAAACATTGGGGAATAGAATATTGAAACAATTCCAAAATTACCACGTTCTGAGGATAATTCAGGGATGTCGTAGTTGACATATTGAATATTACCTACTCAAGTTGATACTCAACAACACCTACCCATACTGAGTTGAGTTGAGTGTTACGTCACATCGGCATTACTTCAGCCATATAGCGACGAGACCAAGTCTGTACACATGGTCATTTTAAGTACAAAGCTTAAAGGAGCTGGGTTTTTAAAAATAACATATTTGTTCATGGCATTACTATTTGCCAACAGACAACGTCATAGCACAATTTATTTTTAAAAAACATGCAATCCGTCATTCACATTACATAGTTACAATTTATGATACAGGTCAACTTCCCTTAGGTAGTTCACAATGAGATGCCCGCTCAAGCGGGAAACAGATCTTTCAGATTTATCGCTTGGTAATGTGAATCCCTTGCATTTGAAACGTCCACACAGTCAAGCAGTATATGCTTGATGGTGAACGCTTCATCGCAAGTGACACACATAGGAGGTCCATCTCCATCAATAGTCATGAGTAAACTGACTATGGCCAATACAACATCGTCGTAGAATTACCTTATCACGTCTTGACCCATGTTGAGCAACATAACTAAGGTACTGGATATCACAGCCTAAGTTAAGGTACAGTGTTATGATAGTAGAGTTCTCCTATGTTGAGTTTAAGAGTTGAGATAATTGATATCACCTAACAGCCCTAGTTGAGACATTTGATATCACCTACCCATGTTGAGGTACAGTGTTCAGATACCTGACAGCACCTATCCCCTTTGATATGCAGTTTTGAGATACTTCATATCACCTACCCATGCTGAGCTACAGAGTTTCGAGGTGGACTTGACCTACCCATGCTGAGCTATGGTGTTGACGTACGTGGTATCACCAACCCTTGCTGAGCTACAGAGTTTCGAGTTGGACTTGACCTACCCATGCTGAGCTATGGTGTTGACGTATGTGGTATCACCTACCCATGCTGAGCTACAGAATTTCGAGCCGGACTTGACCTACCCATGCTGAACTATGGTTTTGACGTGGTCTCACCTGCCCATGCTGAGTTTAATACAGAGTTTCGAGACTGACTTGACCTACCCATGCTGAGCTATTGCAGTGAGACACTCGGAGTAGAACTCGCTGAGAATGACACCGTCCAGTCCCGGGATAAAGAAGACAACGCCGTAGTCCCCGGTGACGTTAGGGTAGTAGGCGACGGCATGCAGGGGGCTCTTGTCTTCGAGGACGGTAACGACGACTTTCCCCGTTGTCAACGTGCCGGATTTGTATGGATCACCGTGGTCGACAAACAGGCCTGCAGTGCATTCAGTAATATACTCGTGACCAGACTTAATAATGGTCGTTTGTTGATGAGTAAATTGTGCTTTACGCCGTATTACAGCCATATTATGAAGATTTAGTTCAGTGTGAAATGAAACTGCTGATGATTTTAAGAAAAAAGCAGTTTTACAGTTTGGTTCATAATCTGGCGAAAAGTGGATTCGAACACAACATCACAGTATCCTGGCCCACATACGGCACATAACTCCAACTGGGTAACCCTTTTCATATTATGAGGGGCGGTGGGGTAGCCTAGTGGTTAAAGCGTTCGCTCGTCACGCCGAAGGCTCGGGTTCGATTTCACACATGGGTACAATGTGTGAAGCCCATTTCTGGTGTCCCCCGCCATGATATTGCTGGAATATTTCTAAAAGCGGCGTAAAATTAAACTCACTCACTCATGTCATCGAGTCCGCATGTTGACCAATATCAATTAATAAAGAATGTCACGTTCGGTTGTGTTAAATATTCCGTAAAAACTACACGTATCACTACACAATGAAACGAAGGAATCCGTCAACCAAAAAGTTACTTACATTCAAAATCTTAAGACAATGTTAATTAACTTCATTTTTTAAAATATGAATAATGTAAAGAGTATCTGGTCAATTTCGAGAGAAAAGCGTCTTTGACGTTTTCATCTCCTTGTTTATTAATTTCACCCAATCCAATGCTTCGTAAATGTTCTTAAATCAAACATTATAATTTTTACTTCGACCACTGACCTTACTGAGTAATCGGATTAATAGCACATTTCGAATATCTCACCTGTAGCGATGGTGACGCACACGAGGATCAGAGCGGTTGACTTCATGTTTGCTATCCAGACCAAAGACTGTTTATCGGTTTATCGACAGTGTGCATTGTATCACACAGATAACGCATTGCACGTTGCACAACATTGGTCAGGTGACTCAGGCAAGTGTCACGAGTTTCGATAGATAATGTCTTATTTTTTTATCTTGTCATGTTTTTTCACTTGAAATGCATGTTATGGAAAGACAAAGGGGATAAAAAGCAGTCTGTCCTATGGTAGATGCCAGTGTTTATAAGATGGCGCTGACATGTTATATTTAAACTCATCAAGAGGTAGTGGTATCTTTGTCTGGTCGATGACGTAGTTGATGGTTTGGGAGAAGCCCTGGAGATAAGCGATGAAGAAGGCAGATGTTATTCCCTGGGTGTACTGGTGGTAAGCTGGGATCATGGAGGCGTTACCTCCCAGACACGTCTTGGTATCGATACAGACTGTGGAGAAATACCAACATTATAGGATAGGTTGTTTGTCTTTGTTGTTTAACACTTCCTTCAGTTATACACAAATTATAGTGAGTGAGTGAGTTTAGTTATACACAAACTCAGCAATATTCCAGCTATATGGTGGCTGTCTGTAAATAATCGAGTCTGCGCTGGACAATCCAGTGATCAACAGCATGAGCATCAATATACGAAATTGGGATATGATGATATATGTCAACCAAGTCTGTGAGCCTGACCACCCCATCCTGTTAGTCGCCTCTTACGACAAGCATGGGTTACAGAAGACCAATTCTTCATGGGTTTATTCAAATTATATGACGGCGATGATTGACGTTGATTGGACCTGGTGGTTGATATTATGAACAACTATCAGCGTGGTCAGGTTGCCATGCTATTCAATAAACCAAGTTACCCCTGTATATCAGGTGGCATGTTTTGGTGGACCAGTACAGGTTTTGGGAGATTGGTCTAACACAGAATTCCCATGACACTGTTCCAGAGGAGGCACCCAAACTCATAAACAATGAAACCTGGTTAATCCAGACGTTGTTCCAAACGAAACAGTTTACATTGATGGGGTTCATGTTAAACTGCGGCATTATATCTCGGTGGGCTAAACCAATGTAAGTCGGTACTGGTGGGCAACTACGGTAATCTCCTGTTTCACCGTATCATGTTATTATCTCACTGTCGATAGCAACCGTATGTTGTATATGTCAGTTTATACACTCTTCAGCATCGTTCATACATGACATACATGATAACCATATCTATATAGTATCTACATAGGTACTATCTATATGTTTAGGTCGCGTTATCACACTTACAATCACGAAAGGCATAATCCATGAGGTCGCAGTGACCAAAGTTCTGTAAAAGAAGAAATTATAAAATATAGAACAAACAATCTAAGTTTGCCTGTCTTTTATTATTGGGGTCTTGTCCCACAAAACGATCGGAAAGCAAAGGTCTGGAATATGTGACAAGTCTGGATTACTACAGATTCAGTTTCTGAATATCATCCATAGGCCCCCTTTTATTATATTCTATGAGTATAACATAGAAAAACATTTCCTTCTGTAAATTATGATCATTTCAGTGACTAGATGTTGGTCTATGCGAAGGTGATCTCACTCCCATACTTTAGCATACACTTACAAGGTGGTAGGGCTTGGACCGCTTTGTAGAACATATACCTGTGTAGTAGTATGGGATGTGGTAGTAGTGAGTGAGTTTAGTTTTACGCCGCACTCAGCAATATCCCAGCTATATGGCGGTGGTCTGTAAATAATCGAGTCTGGACACGACAATCCAGTCATCAACATCATGAGCATCGTTATACTACGCAATTTGGGATACGATGAAATGTGTCAACCAAGTCAGCGAGTCTGACCACTCGATCCCGTTAGTCGCCTCTTATGACAAGCATGGGTTACTGGAGACCACTTTTAACTCGTATCTTCATGGGTCACCCGTGTAGTAGTAGGGGATGTGGTAGTTGCAGCATTAGGAGGTACGGTAGTAGGAGCAGCAGTAGATAGAGATGTGGCGTTAGTGGCAGCATCTATTAAAGTGAAGGTAAGTTGAAATTATTCACCTTGGCGTCCACGAGGACTTTAGGAGGTTCCCCCCACATGTCGTAGAAGTGGTTGTAGCCGAAACCAGGGATGATGCATGAGACAATGATCGCCCTCTTCGTGGACAGCTGCGTCCCCGTGATGAGAGCTGGGAGGGAGTAGTTGGTCTTTGTCGTGAACTGATAACTGAATGGTTCCCAAAACACGACAGCCTGAAACAATGGTTCACACCGAACAATTACAACCAAACAAGCAACACTAGAACATATTTCAGTTATATTTGTTGTTTCACGCTGCACCCTGCAGTATTCTATCTATATGAGGTCGGTTTGTTAATAATCGAGTTTGGACCAGACAATCCCGTGATTGATATCACTAACATCTATCTACCGAATTGAAATACGAGGATATGCATTAGTTAAGTCAGTCATGGTGTTTTATATGTAGTCCGACTTTGTATTGGAATCCTAAAAGGGGCATTGATGCGTTGCCATACCGTCGTCCTCACAAAAACTAGCAAAAAGTGTCAAAACTAGGTTTTGTCAGTTCAGTTTCGCAAGATCTTCACGGGTCCATTAGGGCTTTTACCTCGGTGTTTTCATTTGTCGAGTCTGGAACAGGCAATCTAGTGATTGACATCATGCACATCGTTCTATACGCAACTAGAATAAAATAACATGCATCAACCAAATCAGCGAGCCTGACCACCCGATCCCGATGTAACCTGATGTCGTTGTTCCACGAAGGGAAGAAACTCAGCCACAAACTTGAAGTTCTAAAAGGGACATTATCGCGCTGTCGCCTAGTCGCAAAAACAAGCAAACAGTGTCAAAACTAAGCAAAGTGCGACAATGGCCCTTCTAGGATACCATAGTTTAGACATAAATGCCGTACCTGGAACAAGGTATGGTTTCTCTCCGTCATCTTCAACATAGCGTCGGCTCCGGCAGAGTGACTGAGAAGCGCGACGTGGTCCCAACTGCTATTCACGCCCGGTGTTACTGCTTGGATTAACCTCTGCAGGTTGGACTTCAGCTGAAAGTATATGCGCAGTATTGCTGACGGGCGTTTCATTTAGCATCATTGCATCGTTCACACTCTCACCGTGGCCTGTAATCAATCGAACGACTTACAATAAGAGTGGGTGAGTATGGTTTTATGCCTCTTTTAGCAATATTTCAGCAATATCACAACGAGGGACACCAGAAATGAGCTTCACACATTATACCCATGGGGGGATTCGAACCCGGGCCTTCGGCGTGACGAGCGAATGCTTTAACCACTAGGCTACCTCACCGCCTCATCGATAAGAAATGCGCGGTTAACCAAGTCACCAGCCACACAACAGATCCATTTTGGTTGCTCTTTACGACAATCTAATGTTGATAGCAGCCCTGTCGCGCATTCTAGTTGAAGTTGAGAGACGTGTTAACCTTGCGCATGGCAGCGTCCTTAAGTGAATGAATCTGGACCGGGTAATCCAGTGATTGATATCATTAACGACAAACATGGGTTGCTAAAGATCAGGGTGCCATTGTACAAAGCGATCTTTGCTCTAAGGTGATCGTAACTCCCATACCTTAAGATAAACTTACGACTGGCGAAGCGCTAAGGTTGCTTTGTACAACGGCCCCCAATTCTAACCCGGATAGGATTTTTACCATGCTGTTTTAATTTGTCGAGTCTGGAATAGGCAATGTAGTGACTGATATCATGATCATCGATCTACGTAATTGGAATATTATAACCTGCATCAACCAAGTCAGCGAGTCTGACAACCCGATCCCAATGTAACCTGACAGCATGAAGGATGCCCCTATAGGCTGTGTTGATTTGTTCACTGAGTGAGTGAATGAGTTGGGTTTTATGCCGCTTTTAGCAATATCACGGCGGGGGACATCAGGAATGGGCTTAACACAATGTACCCTTGTGGGGAATCGAACTTGGTTGTCAGAGTGAGGAGCGAACCCTTCAACCACTGAACTACCCCACCGCCCCATTTGTTAACTGTGATGTTACCGCTAGAATGTCATGTCTAGCGGACAGTGGGTTCGCCGAAGACACGGGTTCGATTCAATCTGTGAAACCAATCCTTGTTGCAATGGATACAATATGGAGCCACTGCTCCCCTGGCAGAAATGGCACGAGCAAACGACGACCAGACTGATACTTACCCAGTAAAACTGCTCCATGTACTTGTCAGCGATGGAGCCAAGTTTCTCTTTGTTCCTGTGGTAACCGGTCGGGTTATCAAGCGCAGGGAAAATGTAGTCACTAGCGACCACGACGAATCTACAAACATTGGGGAATAGAATATTGAAACAATTCCAAAATTACCACGTTCTGAGGATAACTCAGGGATGTCGTAGTTGACATATTGAATATTACCTACTCAAGTTGATACTCAACAACACCTACCCATACTGAGTTGAGTTGAGTGTTACGTCACATCGGCATTACTTCAGCCATATAGCGACGAGACCAAGTCTGTACACGTGGTCATTTTAAGTACAAAGCTTAAATGAGTTGGGTTTTTTTGAAAATAACATATTTGTTCATGGCATTATTATTGGCCAACAGACAAGGTCAGATTTATCGCTTGATAATGTGAATCCCCTTGAACCTGAAACGTCCACACAGTCAAGCAGTATATGCTTGATGGTGAACGCTTCTTCGCAAGTGACACACATAGGAGGTCCATCTCCATCAATAGTCATGAGTAAACCGACTATGGCCAATACAACATCGTCGTAGAATTACCTTATCACGTCTTGACCCATGTTGAGCAACATAACTAAGGTACATGTACTTGATATCACAACCTAAGTTAAGGTACAGTGTTACGATAGTTGTGTTCTCCTATGTTGAGCTTAAGAGTTGAGATAATTGATATCCCCTAACAGTCCTAGTTGAGACATTTGATATCACCTACCCATGTTGAGGTACAGTGTTCAGATACCTGACAGCACCTATCCCCTTTGATATGCAGTTTTGAGATACTTCATT